CCGGAGCGGTGAGTGCGCGGGGCGGCCGGCGGGAGGGAGGGCAGGGCCCGGCCATGGCGGCGGGGGCGTTATGTCGTTGTCCCCCGCGGCACCGGGGCGGGGGAAAGGGCCGCACAGCGCCAAGGAACGCGGGTCACCTCCCGGAAACGCTCCCTTCGGGACACCGAGTGCGGCCTGGGAGGGACGAAGCGCGGCCTAAAAGCAGATGTGTCCCTGAAAACCCGCCCGGGGTCCGTCGTCCCGAGGCGGCGGTAGCCCGGGGCACACGCACTGCACGGGTGTCATCCCACCTATCCCGGTCTCAGTGCCAATCCCGTTGTCTCTGGAGTGAAATCTGTGTTACCGTCACCCGCCCAGGGTTTGGAAAGCAGGAGGAGACAAAGAACTTAATGTGGGCCCAATAAACCTTAGTGCTGGTATCAGCTGGTGCGTGTTACAGCCATTTGCTCTAATAGGTAACGCTCCAGGAATGCTTCATCCGCGGAGCATCCCGGGAACGGTTATTAATTATGGTTATTAATTACATTTCACCCCATCCGGTAGAGGGGTAAACAACAGGGTGTTCGGCCCAGTCGTCCGGCCAGTTCAAACGTGACTCTCCACCTACTTAAACATTTTGCGGAACATGTGCCTGGATGGATTAGCACGCTGAGGTGAGGTTAACCGAGCGGCTCAAGGTCAGCGCGCGGCGGGGACGAGCGAGCGCGGCTGCCCCGGCCCGGCGCCGTGCCCCGGGCGTCACACGGCTCCCCCAAACATTTGCAGGCAGTTTAAACATTGGGTTGTGCAAGCGCGCGTTGAGGCCTCCAGAACCTTTCGAGAAGCAGAATATGAATATACCCGCTTCAGATGTTGCGCTCTATTCGCGTGAGGTCTAAAGGTAAAACAATTGCTCAGCTTGACATAGGAAAGGCTTCTGAGGAAGTTTGTGGCTTATTTTGTAAATACGTGCTCAAGAGGCACACAGACTTCATCCATGAATTTGCTGGAGTATATAGTGTTGGAAAACTTACGGTGTGCGTTTAGAGGTAGACTATGAGATATTGTAACAAAAACAGGTTGCACTGTCGTTAGTTTTTAAAAAGAGAAATGTGGAGATTAGGAGTCTGGTGAGGCTATTTTTGGATAAATTGCTTACAGGATGATAGTCTGTAGAGTTATTTGCAATTGTTAGAAAGAAGAAAAAAAAACACCATTGAGAAGTCATGGTGATGAGGCTGTTGGAAGTCAAAACGAAACAAAAAGCTTCCACATTTGGTTTAATTTTTCAGTGGATATTGTTAAATAACATTGACTGAGATTTGTTTTTATTTCAGAGCCTAGAGGGAAGTTTCACTTCATGTGTTTTTTCTCCTGTCAAGTTAAATTTATGAAGAGAGAGATTTCAAAGCAAACTCTGGCAGATCTGCGCTGTTGTGATACAAGCAGTGTTATATTTAGTAACTTCAGGGAGGAGAGATCCTTACTGAGCTAGAAGAATGACCAGTGGCGATTGTTTGTGTGGACTGCAGCGTGTTGGAACGCTGCTCGGTGCTGTTGAGGCGTCCTGGGAGGAGGAGGGCTCGCGGGATCCCTGCAGCGCGCAGGTTTCGCCGGGGCTGCCAGCGGGGGGATTCCCTCCGCACGGTTCACGTTGCACACGTGAGGGCACAGGCCCTTTGCAAAGGTTTGGTTGGGCTTAACGTCACGTCGAGCAGGTGATCGTGGTGACTGTTGACTGCAGTTGAGTCCCAGTGCCAGGAGCGCCTTGTGCAGTGCAGAATGGTGATACTGAGGTTTGAAGGTGGTCTGTTGGGTGGCTTTATCCTGAACGCTTACAGGACTGGTGCTTTAGGCTCAGTCTGCACAAGTGAGTTCTGAAAATACAAACTTTCTCCTAAAGAGTCCTTAAAGTTTCAGGTTGACGAGTGCTGTATGAAAGGGAGGCTATTAATAATAGTACCCCAGCAAGCCTCCTCTGCATACGTGTCGTTTGTAACATGGTCTTTGGGAAAGGTGCTTCTACTGATGAGATATTACAGCCAGGTGACTTCTAAGACAAAATAATTGTCTCAAAAAGGGTGCTTGTTGCTTTCATAGGAATTTCACGCAAATTTATAACCTGCATGGCACTGCTGTGTCAGCAGATGTGGGCGATAGGCCTGGGTTGGCCAGGTTTTCCTTCTGCCAGTTTGAGTGGTAACTTTTCCAGCCAAGGTAAATAAGAAAAGGAAGCAATAGCAGGATATACATTTTAAGATTAGTGGTTTTGAGCCTGCAAGTTTGTGGAAATCCTGGTTTATGCACTGCTTTTCTGGTAGGTACGTAGGAAAAGGAGCTGGCTGTTGAGCAGTGCTTAAACGTAAGGCATCAACATCGTGCTGGTGATTCAAAATAATCTGAAACACCTAGTGGTAGTTTGCCTTTGGTTGTATGGTACATGGAAGAACATATTAAAATATGCTCCAAAGTATTTATTAGAAAAGCTAACATTTGATCACTTCAGAAGATTGCAGCACACATGCAGGCATGTTTGTAGTATATATAGGTTTGAGAATCTCTGGTTCTAATACAAGCTTACTATATATTGCCTTGAATTAACTTTCCACAGGATTTTTATTAATGTTCTGCCTTTAAGAAGTTTCAGTCTAAATTGTTCTATATTTTTGTGAGCTGGCAGTTTTTTTCACAATAGATCCTCATACAATCTTCATATATTTGAATGGAACAATGGTTCTTACTCAGCAATAGTGCATTGCGTTGTTAAAGAAATAACACCTAGACTGGCTGTGCAAAGTGATTCCAGAATTCTTCTGGAACAAAAAGGGTTTGCTAAAATTCCAGCACTTAGAACCCAAATTGCCATTTACAGACTTTTTTTTTTTTTTTTCCTAGACCCTTCTTAATTAGGTAGCAGAACATCAGCTTGGAACGCCTGCACTGGAGATTTGTTTTCAGAATATTATTAGTAGCAATTCAGTGAACTGGAAATAAATCCCTGCTCTGAAAAGAAACTGGATCTTGGGGAAAGCGATTCCAGCAAGAACCATACTCTTAAATTCTACAGGGATGATTTTCTCTTTTTTAAAAACGACAAAGCTGAAAAGCTTAGATTGTGAATTAGAACCAGATTCTTCAAATTTGAAGTTGTAAAAGGGACTACAAAAACAGTCTCCACATGTTCTAATGAACAACTAAATTTGTGTGCTCAGACATGAAACATCTGTTGCTCAGAGATGTAAATGTTACGATGTTTGTGACATAAAAATAATTGTTTTCATTGTTTGTAATGCTAGGGATATGCTCTGCTAGAAATCTTAGAAAGTAAATTTCTACAGGTGCTGCTAGTGCAGTGAGTACCTCAGTACCTGAAATAGCCTTTGTTTCATAAAGCTTCATTAAAAGTGAAACTTGCAGCTAGCAAGTCAGCAGGAAAAACAGGAAGCTAGTTGTGAGATTCTTTTAATATTTTCTACTGTGGGATAGAGGAATAGAAAGGAGGCTTGATTAAAAACCTAAAAGAGATACAGTAAAATATGATGTTCTTGGAAAAGATGCATGTACCTGTTTTACTTTGCTCTGTCTGTGGTATGGAAAGTCAGTGATGAGTATATTCAGGAATCTGGTCTTAACCTTATTTCATGAATTAGATTTATGGTTATTGCTTGATCGGGTCATGGGTTCTGGTTTTAGTTCTGAAGTGACATTTAATAAAACAAAACTGGGGGTGGAAAGGAGAACTCTCATGGCTGTACTTTGACTAGAGGTGGTGGTGGAAGAATTCCCTTCTTAATTTTCAATCAAACAACAAATCCAAAATCTATTTAGTACTATTCATCCCAGCTATTTTTAAATCCATTGCCCTTAACTGTGCTCCAGTTGTAATAAGAGTTTAGTTTAAGCAAGGCATGAAGATATTCTCCATTCTTTTGTTCTGAATCTGCGACGTGCCCTACCTGAGTGCCTGCGCGAGCAGCTACGTAAGTTATTACACCTCATCCTGGAATGTTCTGAGGAGGTCACTGTGCAGCAGGATTCCTGCTTAAATTATCACTGTGGCTGGAGCCTTGGGCTTCCTTGTTTCTGCTTTTTCTTCTATTAGTGTTAGTTTTGTGAGGTGAGGATGGAATTTGTTTTTTGTTTGCAAATAACAGCATAAGCAATTTTTTTTAATGGACTGGGACCCCAAAGTGCTGTAGTGATAGGCTGAGGGAGTGCTTTTCTATTTACTTAATAGTGTTTTTAACTAGAGGGAAATCTGATGTGACTGTATGTTTATTTTCATATTTTTGAAGGAACTTAAATATAAATTCATAAACGTGTGTGTGTATTTATATGTATTTGTATGCACCAGTTTGCTATAGATTCATGGAAATAATCTTCCCTTTTCTCTTTTCCTTTTTTTTCCCCTTCAGAATTGCCAAAATGCTTTGGAATTCTTAAACGATTCAAAAACTGAAGTCTCTAAGGATACAAAATCATAAGAACACAAGAAGCAGCAAGGAGGATTCAGTGCCAATGCAGCAGCAAAAAAGACAGCCAGAGTTAGTGGAAGGAAATCTTCCTGTTTTTGTTTTTCCTACAGAACTTATATTTTATGCAGATGACCAGTCAACACACAAGCAGGTGTTGACTCTTTATAACCCCTATGAGTTTGCCTTAAAATTCAAAGGTGGGTTTCTTAGGTTAAGTTCTATTAAAGGGTTAGTTGGTGATCTTGAAGAGCCTAATTATAACTTGTGTAACAAATCATATTGGTGGCAAAACTAAACTTGTCTATCCATAAATCTGTTTATACGATTAGTGAGGTGTTCATGTTTTATTACTACTATTCTCCTTTCCAATTGCAGTTCTTTGTACAACTCCCAATAAATACACGGTGGTTGATGCTTCTGGTGCAGTGAAGCCCCAATGCTGTGTTGACATGTAAGTAAAAGTTGGTTATTTTTTTCCTAAATGTAGAACATCTGAGAATACCTTGATTTTCTTTATTTTTCAAGTGGTAACAAATACCAGCATATATAGTATAAATTAAATTGAATAAGTATATAGTATTTTTCTAATCTCTGTATTATTCAGGTTGCCCAGTCTTTGCTGTTCTTTTGTTTTAGGGCAGAGGAACTAAAATATTGGATATATTTTCTTTTTTAAATTTTGTCTTTAAGCATAAGTAATGCTAGTAAGTGGATCCTGTAGTATAGTTGGTAAATGAGCAGTGAGAGTAACGTGAGCCTCTTCCAAGTGCTTTGTAATTTCTGAGAAGAAAAGCAAGACCCCCAGGGTTGGGATTTCTTTGTGAGAAATATTTGTTTGCAGATTGGCAAAATGAAAATGTATGAAGTTCTACTGAGCACAATTTCCTGGGACATGGTTAATAAAGGTACTTTTGCCTACCTTTCCCCTTGACCACTGCTCTTGTGTTCTCTCTCTCTCTCTCTCTCTCTCTTTTCCTTGTTTCTCCTTGCAGGTCCGAACCTAATAAAAGAGAAAAGATGAAAATAGGTTAAGTTACCACAGCAATATATGGGGCCTGTAGGCTGCTATAATTCAAAGCAAGGAAAACAGTAGATATTTAAGCTAAAATAGCTTGACCTTTTTCATCTTCGTTTGCCCTGTTATTTCTGTGCTGGTGTGTGTGAATTGTGGGTAGTCAGGTATGGCTAAAGGAGAGTATTAAGTACCTAAAGAGCAGACAGAGCTCTAGAAATTTGCCAGCTGTAACACCCGGGTACCTCTGGCTGATGAATGGCCATATTTAAAAACAAAACAAAAAGCACAACACTGCTAAATGATCTGTGTTTTGTCACATAAATATTACTGTGCTTAGGGGACTGGTCTTTTCCTTATGCTAGTTCCATTAAGTATAATTTAGAAAATTGTAGCGTCTCCCCAAATAGAGAGGATGTTAACAAAAAAAAGCTGTTTGGATTAATAAGTGTGAGTGGACAGGGGGCATAATCTTAAAAACAGCACAAAACTGATCAGAAGATACAGGCATATTAGTGAGCTGTTCTGGTCTTTGAGAGTAGATGCCGATTGCCTTCAGGACCTTTTGACAAATGTCTTGGAATAACTAAACGAAAATAAGATGTGTGCTTGTTCCACGGGGTTTGTTTCTGTAGCAAAACCCCAGCCGGTTGGAGCGGTTGTTGTCTAAGGGCAGTGTTTACTGCTGGGATCTGAGCAGTGCTATGTTAGGTATGGCCATTTGCCAGATAAACAGATATTCTACAGAGCTTGTAATTATGCAATGATCTCTAAAAAGAAACAGGAGAATGTATCTGTTTATAAGGGTCTGCAGAGAAACATCTCTCTGCTTGGCAGCAGATGCATGTTCTCATAGCACAGTGTTATGTAAAGATTCTGTTTAGGTTGATAGTACCACGGCACTAAGAGCAGAAACAACATGTTAAAAAGAAGTGTTAAGGGAAAGAGGAAGCTGATGTCCTGATAGGTTGTATGAATTAAAATTGTTGGGGGAAAAAAGCCTTTTGTTTCAGCGGAGGCCGTTGCGCAGCCCGCAGTGAAGTTCCTCGTGCCGTGGGCTCGCTGTCCCGCTTCCGAAGCGGCGCAGAGCTCCGGTGTCCTGCGAGCTCCCAGCTGAGCTGACTTGCTGCTCCCTCTCGAACGGTCTATTCGAAACCGATAACAATTACAAGAACTAGCTCTGCGTTAATGATTGACTTTGTAGATATCTTGGTGTCGTATAGTTCCTTAACATGCAATCTAAAACATGTTTGGTGCAGCCTTTTGATATATATGTTGTCAAAGTTACATTTCCTTTCTTGAAGCCATATCTTTTATTTATTTATTTTAATCACTTTTGCTGTTATTTTCTTTAAAATATAAAGTAGCCTTTCAGGAGGAAAAAAACCAAAACAAAACAAAAAAAACACACCATTTTCCACATTCCACTTCAGAAAGCATAATTACAATCCATATTAACCCTAATAATTGATATGACTTCAAAAGGTACATGGCATCATTTTTTAATGCTAGCTATGTGAGTATTTTCATAGTATATTTGCAAGGAGGAGACAGCTGAGCAAAGCACCGTCGGCAGAGGTCTGTATGGCCTCTGATCGGTGTTTTTAAACCTGCTTTTTATGGGTCTACCAGACAGCATTTCACTGGAATACCATAGAATTTCCCAGGAAAACGCCCGCGTCTCTCGTTAGCGCTCGGGGGTTATGTCTGCGCTGCAGCTGCCGCCTCCGTGGGTGAATCCCACCCAAGTCCTGCTGCAGAGGAGCAGCTGGAGCCTCCTGCGTCTCAGGGCAGGGTGCCAAACGTGCTCATACTCATGCAAAACAAAGCTTGCTTTTTTGCTATAGGGTGAGTTTTGCCTCTGAGGAAACCCTGTAACACTCAGTGCGGTTTCCTCAAAGCCAGGCTTTGGCATCACCCTGTCCAGGTGTTTGCGGGCCCTGCTCTCCTCTGCGTCCCTGTCCACGGCTGCCCCTCACACCTTCCGGACTGGCACAACCTCTGATAAAGGATCAGGCATCTATCAGATGTCCTGTGCTTCACTAACATTGGCAGCTGGGGCTTGGATTGAGGCTGAGGCTGTGTTCTGAGATGAAGAATTAAATATTCTTTTTGCCCAGCCAGTTGGATTTGGTACATTTGGGAACCAGAGAACCCTCTCGTGTGCAGCCAGCCTGGGAAAGGGAGAGGGCGAGATGAGATCTCCAGGAATGTTGAGTGGAAGAGGAGGGAATGAGGACCTGGGCTGTTGCACTGTATCTGTGTGCAGGACAAAGAGGGGGCACTTGGGCTGCAGGATGAATTTCTACAGGAAAACTGTTTTATTAGTCCCTCTGTTCAAAAATGTTATTTTCCCCTACAGTGTGATTCGTCACAGAGATGTTCGGGCTTCTCACTTTGGAGTGATAGATAAATTCCGTCTGCAAGTGTCTGAGCAAAGCCAGAGAAAAGCACTAGGGAGAAAGGAGATTATTGCTACTCTACTTCCATCTGCCAAGGAACAGCAACAAAAGGAAGAGGAGGAAAAACGAATAAAAGAACATCTGACTGAAAGTGTCTTTTTTGAACAGAATTTGTGTCAACCAGGTAGCTGAAATCTTACTTTTACTCCTCAAGTCCTCTGGAACAATTTGAATAGCTCGAGTAACTAGAAAAAAAGTGGACTAAATTAGTTATTATAATTACCTGCAAGATGGCCATCTTTATCTCTGAGGGATGGTAGTGCTCAAGAACCCCAACTGTCGCTGTTCTGTTTATGGTTGAGATCCTTTGCTGCCCAAAGTTTGCATCTTGTGCCCTCAAGAATACCTACTTGCATCCCTCTGATGCAGAATTTCTATTATAATCAATAGAACTATATTTTGTGTGTGTGTATATACAACATATAGGATCCTGCAAAAGGATTGGGGTGTCCGTGTGTGTGATTTCCCTGGCCTTTTTGTTTCACAACATATGCCCCTTCTGAGTTTGTTCCAAAGCCTTAATCCCTGATTTCCTGATGAGCAGGAAATGTTGCCAGAACAATTTCTAAAGTGCTCCTTGTTCTGTGCCATCTCCTTTGTCGGTCTGCAAGGACAGAAAAATGCAGCTGCTAGCTGGAAACTGTGTTTGTAATGTACATGATGAGGTTATAGGAAGATCCCCAGTTAGAGAAAGCAAATCTGGAGGAGCTCTGCAGTCAGAACAAAACGTTTAAACTGTCTGAGGAATCTGATAATTCTTCGTAATACAAATGGCTATTCCTGTGTTTAAAAAGAAAATAATGGATTGGTGGAATTAAAATACGATCTACTCTGATAGCTTCTTAGAGGACATAAAAACTTGATAGAAACATTGGCTCATTGGCTAATTTGTAGTGTGTCTCAAGAACTTGGATAGAGCTATTCAGCTAAGAGCGTATCAGCTGTTTTTAAAGGTTACAGTGTGCTTTTGAGTAGGGCCCAGCTACTGAACTGCAGCACCGTAAGGAACACGCAGAACAGAAATTCACCTTAGTCTGTATTTCCTCAGTAATACTGCACTGCCAGAGCGCTTTGCACTCTCAGTTTCACAGTGTCTTTCAAATGCTGCTGCTTTGTGGCATCTAAACCACTCCTGGCAGGTGCCACCACTGAGTCCTGTAAGGAAAGAAGGGAGCTAATCTGGCCCGAGAGGATCTCTGCCCTTTCCTGCAGCCAGGGCTGGGTGGCTTTGCTGTTTGTTTGGAGAAGCAAGCAGAGTTTGCAGCCTGTGCTGCTCCTTGGGCTGTTCTTTCCAAACGGATTACTGCAGGAATATCAAGGCATGAGTTGGGATGTGTAGTGAAACCTCCAGCGCTGCTGAAACCATTCAGTTGTCATGACTCTGTGTGTGTATGTGTACACACATATACATATATATACATACACACACACACACACATATATATATATATATATATATACACACACACACTTGGCCTGTCAGGTTGTTTTCCTGCAAAAGGGAGGGATTTGATAAGTCCTGTGAAAACAAGTTCCAGCATCAGGCTTAGAAGAGGGAGCAGCTTTCTCACCGCAAAACACAAAAGACCTAGGAAGATGGGCTTAAGTTTTGTCTCATTTCCTCCCTTTCTCCAAACTTCAAAGAAAAAATAAAATGTCCTACAACAGATACTTTTGCAAAATATTTAACATTTATACTGCTTAGATATTCCTTTCAATGCATATAACTTTGTTTTCCAGAACACAGAACTGCCTCATCGGGACCTAGTTTACTGACCGTCTTCCTGGGTATCGTGTGCGTTGCAGCACTGATGCTACCTACTCTGGGGGACATGGAATCCCTGGTGCCTCTCTACCTCCATTTAAGTGTGAATCAAAAGTTAGTAGCTGCTTATGTTTTAGGTAAGTATTTTGGATTTTGTAACTGTTTTCCTGCAACTTCTGTAATTCAGGAAAATTTCTCCCATGTTTGCTTGTTATCATAAGTATTCTGGGCCAGATTTTAGTTAACATTTGTAATGAACAGGCCCTAGCATGCCAATTTCACCTTCATTTGGTGACTGGTCAAATTACCAATGCCTATAATCTGCCAACAAAGCTGAAAGGAATGTGCTGTAGTTTCTTATTCTTATATTGAAATACAGAGTTCTAATACTGCAGAAGCTAGAGCTCTTCTGTTATTTTAAATTCTCTTACCAGCCTCTACGACTGGTTTGAAATTCTCCTTAATAAGGAGTTGAAATGTACTTGCTAACAGACCGTTGCCTTCCACAACTCTTCTTGACTTGTATTTTGCTCCTAAACTAGCAAGCCTTAAAAAATTGCATGTTTCAATTCATATGACTATTTTTCTGTAACTGTTTCAGATTTGAAGAACAGTCATACTAAACTCATTCTGCTGTCCCACTACCTGGCAGAAATCAGGAGTTAAAGGAGAGGAGCTAGGGAGCCTCAAACTGATAGATAGAGGTGAGGTAGCAATGGAAAAAGATGTAGGTTCTCAGTGGTTAATGCACACACTCATTTTAAAGACTGACTCGTTCAGTGAAATGATGTTGAAATTCACCTGACACTAACAAACTCTTTGTCTGGGAAGATGGTGATGTATTTTTGGATCAGGACCTTGCAGTATCCCTTTATTTTTAACTTTAGTCTTGAGAATTACTCCAATTTCAGCTGGTACTAATTACAGTAGTCAACTATGTGACTCCATCTATTTGCAACAATTTACCTCTCTCTAGCTGGGCTACAATATAGAAGTTCTCACCAGTTCTGATTCCTTTGTTGCCGCGTTCTTAAGTACGTGGACTCTTCTGAATGCGGTTCTTGTTCCCAAGGAACACAGGTTGAGTGCCCTTGAAGATGAAGACACCCTCTTCCACGGCCAGGAAACACAGGGAGGTTTAGCCTTTAACTGAAAAGGGAATTTTACACCACACCAACTGCACGACATAACGTATAAGAACTATTTTATGAGAAATGTGTTACAAAATAAACTGCCTGTTACTGAATGTCACTATATAGGTGGTACAGGCTTTCTGTTACGCTTTCTGTAACCTCTGGTGCTAGTCTGCAGGGATTTAGATAACCTAAAGCTGAGGCCTCTTCCAGTTCTTGCCATACTGATTTTCTAAGCTAATGTACACCTTAACAAATACTTGAGCTATAGTTTCTATTCAATGGATAAAAAACTTACCTAACTGAAGGCAGTGTTGCATCTTTGTTCTGTCATACCTCTATCTTTGAAATCCTTTATGTAGGAAACAATTTTAATTAGGATGTAGTGGTGAGATAGTAAAATAATCTCAGCAGTTTCTTTGTCCATGGTGAGATCTCTGCATGTTAGCTGAACTCTCTATAGTGAAAGGCTATTATATTAATATTTGCTGAGCCTGGAAAAAAGCATGATTGCCTGAAAACTCAGAAAAAAAAAATCAATAAAATTACTGTTTTCATGTTACATAAGGTGGAATTCAACCCATTTTTTTCCACATGCCTCCTTGCCTTCTACAGTGTGTGTACTCCCTAAGAATTTGCAGATTTGTGCTTTTTTTTCTAGATCATTACATCATTAAAGTGAAGCTCCAGTATGTTATGAGTAGGTTTTAGTCCCACAACTCCTGCTTTCATCTGCCGGACCCCTCTTTTTATTTATTTTTTAACCTTTAGCTATGAGAGCAGCTCTTTCCTCTCGCATTTTAACGGTCCCAACACAGAGGCCGCAGAGAGTTCCCAGTACAGACCGAGGGAAGCCTAATGATCAAAGGAGAGTTTTGGACAAAGATGCTATTCTGCACGGAGCAGGGGAGTCTTGTAGTTTTCCATTAATCTGCCTTAGTGATGATTCAGCATTTGGGAATAGCTATGGGCAGCGTAATTCAGTTAAATTTGCCCTCTTGTATGCTAGTATTGTGCTTACCTAAGGTAAAATCTCAATGACTTTTTTTCTAGCAAAGAGCTCTACACTTTTTTGTAGCATTTGCAGCTTCTTTTGAAAGGTCTGTTAGTAGGTTTAGTGCACTTGGGTTTAGTTTCCTACACTGACTTTGACTACACCAAGATCTGGAGCAGCAGCGTTTCCGTGGGCCTCTCTAAATGCATTCTGCATGCATCTTTGCTCTCATCTGATTTTCTGACCTGTGACAGGCTAACTGACTCTTCTGTCTTTTGAATGTTTTATTTACTGAAATTAAAATGTCTAGTTCTTAATTCTTGTCTTTCAGGTCTCATCACCATGGTTATTTTGAAAACATGAGCAATGATTTAATAGGATGTCAAACACCTGACTGTATATTCACATCCTGAATGTGGACTGCCTTTTACTCCCATTCGGCTCATTAAGACGCTAGCAAAGCTGTTCAGTGATTTAAGATACCTTCAGAAGTGTAATATATTTTAACTGTGTATAATAAATGAAAGACTCAAGCACTTTTACGTGCTTCTGTAACAGACAGCTATGAAATGTTCAGTGATACCTGTGAAAATAATTTGAAAAACTTTTATATCTACACCTACTGTACAAAATCCTTATTAAAACAACATTTGTTATTTTTAGTCTATGTTCACATCAGTGTGATCACTACAGAAGCAAACTGTCCTATGTAAAACATTCACGTGGTTTGTGGTTGTACGTACGGAGATCGCTGCGTAACACTTCTGTATCCCTCCTGCAAGGATGAAAGTCATGCCTAATCGTGGAAGAAGATTAAAAATTCCATCAGTGAAACTATGAAATAAACCATTAAATTTAGGTGAAGTAGTAGTTCTCAGATTCCTTACTTCATTATTACAAGCATACCACTGAGTGCTTTTCTTACCTGGGGAAATAATTTCTGCAACAGCCATTTTTTTTTTTCAATCATGAGTACAGACAATAAAAAAAAAAACTACCCTTAGAACCTTTCTTTTTTTTTAGGGATGCATGCAATATACAAATGAAATGGCATTACTACAAGTGGAACTTGCACTGTAAACTGGTATAGAAAAAAAGGAACCTTTTCTATTAGTTTAGTCTCTACCGCGTATAGCGAAGGCATTCCTCTAGACCTCCCCCCGGACAGCTATGGTAGGGGACTTCTGTACAAGAAACTCCTCCTCAAATTTAATTTTTTATATTCTAGATGAGTGTTTACACTTTATCTTTTTTCATTTAACAGCTCTTTCCCGTTGTTGGTATTTCACTGTAGATACTCAGTTTAAAAATCTTACTTTGAACGAGAGCCCAGTATTCCTGCATTTGGTTCATGCACACAAATCCCTTGTTTATTTATAAGAGGTTTCTATAATATGTTTGAATCTGTATAAAAATTGTGTTGGAAATTAATCCTTCTTTCCCCCTGCATGTTATGGATCACTTTTCTGTTCATGCATGGAGGCATAAAGAAACCATGCAGACATGAGTGTTATTTAAAAAAAATACACAAAAGGTGAGGTTGAATTTAACAATTACTGTACATTTCTCTTTATAATACACTAAGTCTTTAAAGGGCAATAAAATGTGTCTTTAATTTGATTCTCCTATGGGCTGAGATTGTGTCATCTATCAGAGTCAGACGGTAACAGCGAGACATTAACTGTCCTGGGGGGAAACGTCCCTGCTCAGGTGGGAAGGTGGATGCCAAACGTCCCGGTCCGGGTGGGAAGGCGGATGCCGAACGTCCCGGTCCGGGTGGGAAAGTGGATGCCGAACGTCCCTAAACAGGTGGGAAGGCGGATGCCAAACGTCCCGGACCGGGTGGGAAGGTGGATGCCGAACGTCCCGGTCCAGGTGGGAAGGTGGATGCTGAACGTCCCTGCTCAGGTGGGAAGGTGGATGCCGAACGTCCCTAAACAGGTGGGAAGGCGGATGCCAAACGTCCCGGACCGGGTGGGAAGGTGGATGCCGAACGTCCCGGTCCAGGTGGGAAGGTGGATGCTGAACGTCCCTGCTCAGGTGGGAAGGTGGATGCCGAACGTCCCTAAACAGGTGGGAAGGCGGATGCCAAACGTCCCGGACCGGGTGGGAAGGTGGATGCCCTCCTGAACGGCCGTGCGGTGCCATGGACCACAACGAGGACATGGGAACAGGCACCGCAGAGACCTGCATTGACAGGGAGCTATTTCAGAGACTTCAAAGACAAGGAAAGGGTTGGGATGGGGGGAGGCGAGGGAAGGGAGTAATTTTTTTACCAGGGGAATTCATAACATTTTTATTCGCCTTTTTCCCCTTAAATGCAATACACATACACATATATCTAGTACCTAGAGGTTCCTTCAGTAGCACTGTGGCAAACACAGAATGTCTTTGGAAATGAGACCTGAGCCAGCAAATATGCCTCCTCTTAAAAACACCAGGAAAAACAGTTAGGTGTTCACGTCATTTCCTATTCCTGACTCTTAGCAAAAACAGAACAGTCATTTCCTTGAAATGGAAAAGTATTTTGAGGAGACAGTTAGTGCTTTAAGATCATTCAGCAGAAACAACCGTCTTGTTTGTCCAGCACTTGCTGTGGCACCGATACCTCAAACAAGCAGTGCTGGCAGGCAGGAACCAAAACTGCTACCGAGAGCAGCAGTTGTCATTAGCACCACCCCTAGCAGCTATGGGCTTGATGCACAATCCCCTGCTTGGATCAGAAAATGCTCCAAATTCCCCATTTTCTTTAATGAAGTGGATCACAGAATGCTTAAAGCTACAAGAGATCCAGTGTAACCGGCTCCAGGGCCTTGGGGTTCTTCCCCTCAGGAAGCCCCAGGAGACCAGAGAGAGGGTCCAGCAGCCCCTATACAGCAGCCCCCTGAACCCCCTATACAGCAGCCCTTACACAGCAGCCCCCGCTCCCTGCAGAGGGGGATCCCCCTCGGCTGCCGCTGCCATTTCTCCCCCGGCACAGCCAGGTGGGGACAGGCCCTGCCCCTGGTCCAGCAGCTCCAGGACAAGGCCATGCCCAGAACGGCCCCTCCGCAGCGGAGCAGACGAAGCCTTTCCCGAAGCAACAAGCCAGGAGCTTCCAGGGAGCTACGCGCTGCCCTGTTTCATGATCCAAGTGGCAAGTGTCTGATAAACAGTCAGCCTAAACTACAGAGAAGCTGCCAGATAGGTTTGGCAATGAATCACCACCAGGTCTTAGACTCTTTTCCCTCAATGTTTACGTAAGATACCTGGCTTTTTCTCTGCAGATGCCAAGTTCCACCGTCTCTTTCCTTTGTCAGGTATATGAATTTTATATTTAATCACTCAGCGCCTTCTCCCACTTACGCACCTCGCTAATCCGTTCCACTCGCAGAGAAAATACAGAAAGGAACTTGCCAAGGTCAGTAAGCTAGATCCAAAAATACACTGCTTACAGGAAGAAAAACTCAGTCGCAGAGTGCTACGCTGCATAGGTTCTGCTCTGATTCACTGCAACCTCAAATTCGGGGGCCAAGCTGCATAGGAGGCCTTCAAAAAAAAAAGGAGGTGAATTCCTGGTGAGAGCATCTCAGGTATTTTGTCTCTGGGCTCCCATGAGGCCTCCCGGGCAAGGCAAGGGAGCAGCCTGCAGCGCGGAGCACGGAGCCGTCCTGGCACGACACGGCTGTTCAGCGGCCAGCAGAGACAGGGCTCAGCGCGGGCAGGAACACGGGTTGTGTCCAGTGTCCCCGTGAAACGGGGTGAGCACCTTTCAGGGCTCAGCGCGGGCAGGAACGCAGGTTGTGTCCAGTGTCCCTGTGCAATGGGGTGAGCGCCTTTCAGGGCTCAGCGCGGGCAGGAACACGGATTGTGTCCAGTGTCCCCGTGCAGTGGGGTGAGCGCCTTTCAGGGCTCAGCGCGGGCAGGAACACGGGTTGTGTCCAGTGTCCCCGTGCAGTGGGGTGAGCGCCTTTCAGGGCTCAGCGCGGACAGGAACGCAGGTTGTTTCCAGTGTCCCTGCGCAATGGGGTGAGCGCCTTTCAGGGCTCAGCGCGGGCAGGAACACGGGTTGTGTCCAGTGTCCCTGTGCAATGGGGTGAGCGCCTTTCAGGGCTCAGCGCGGGCAGGAACACGGATTGTGTCCAGTGTCCCCGTGCAGTGGGGTGAGCGCCTTTCAGGGCTCAGCGCGGGCAGGAACACGGATTGTGTCCAGTGTCCCCGTGCAGTGGGGTGAGCGCCTTTCAGGGCTCAGCGCGGGCAGGAACACGGATTGTGTCCAGTGTCCCCGTGCAGTGGGGTGAGCGCCTTTCAGGGCTCAGCGCGGGCAGGAACACGGGTTGTGTCCAGTGTCCCTGTGCAATGGGGTGAGCGCCTTTCAGGGCTCAGCGCGGGCAGGAACACGGGTTGTGTCCAGTGTCCCTGTGAAACAGGGTGAGCACCTTTCAGGGCTCAGCGCGGGCAGGAACACGGATTGTGTCCAGTGTCCCCGTGCAGTGGGGTGAGCGCCTTTCAGGGCTCAGCGCGGGCAGGAACACGGGTTGTGTCCAGTGTCCCTGTGCAATGGGGTGAGCGCCTTTCCCACAGCCGCGCTGGGGGAGGCCCCGGCTCCCGGGAGGAACAGCCGAGGTTCACGGTGCTGACGACGGAGCCTCTCCTTCGTAGATGCAGCCGCTGCCCTAGGAAATTCCAGGCTGCAGCTGCTGAAGCCAGCACAGGGTCTGCAGCGGGCGGCAGCCTATCACCCGCTCTGCATCGCATCAGGAACCGTCCTGCAGCGTCCGCCAGGGCCCTGCGGAGAGAACACAGCAAGGAGGGAGTTCAGAAACCTGCGCCAGGAAGAGGTGACAGAGGACTGAACACACAAAAGGAGGGCAGTAATACAGTGTAATGACTACAGGCAAGTAAGGGCGATTCGGGGGTATTTTTGTCTTCCATGGAATACGATCCACGTAAAGCTCTGCTGCAAACTAAGAGCTCTCTGCTATTTACTTAAGATAATGAACTACATGTATCAGCTCTCGAAAATTTGCAAAGCCATATAACCACGCTGCTAATACAAAGTGGAATCCCACGCAAAGTAGTGCACACTGGTCTCTGAAATAGCAGACTATGCACAGGAATAACTGAAGCCAAAGCAGAATCATGACTATAGCAGCACAAAGCCATGGGTGACCTCCTCGCTGGGAAGGAAAAGGCTCCTAAGACGCCCTACCTGAGTAACAGGTTCCCTGTAATAGCCCTATGGGGGAAGATAAATTCAGACTCATGTAATTGCAGTCAGCCTGAGCCTAGCAGAGCCTGGAGATACCAAAGGAGGAATAAACACGACTGATTAAATTGATATCAAAGAAAGGAAATTAAAAAAAAAAAAAGAGTTTTGCATTGGAGCCTGAAGTCATGTGTCCAGTGTACAAAATAAATAATTAAAAAAGAATAACAATACAGCTTACAACAACAAAATGAGCACATTTTTCCCTAGGAAACTGCAGGCGCTCAAAGAAGCTCGAGGTAGGAGCATTAAGCCATTAGACGAGCAAATCATTTGACAAATGAGAAACCATCATCAAGAGAGAAACGAAATTCTGCCATAATGCCCTGGAATCCCAGGTTCTATCAGCCAAATCCATTAGCATCTTCCCCTCAGGAATCTGCCATGAAACATCAAAAGGAAGACCTGGTGCTGAAGTGAACGCACTTACAAGGATAGGATCTTGATTTGTTTTTTAAGCAGGAAGTTTCCTGCAACAATTTCACTGCCATTTCTCTCTGCACAAGAAGAAAAAAGCATTTATAAGAACCAAATATCTAAAAATCAGTACCTTCAGCAAAAACTGCTCCTGTTTAAGCACAGCACCTATTTCCTGTGCTGACATCTAACAA